CGAGCCCAACGGGGCCATTTTGGCCCCTCGGGGGCTTCCAGTTGCAGTTCTGCCGACCTTTGGCGCCCGATTTGGTGCCACCCTGCGGTCTTCAGACGCATCTGAGGTACTCACACGACGTTTCTACACCGGTACGTGTCGTGGGCTGACAGTCGAAAGCGGCAGAGAGCTCACAACCACCCAAGCACGCACGCCCACGACACCGTCGCTGTTTTGGCTCCGACGGCGACGGGGCGACCTATGCCCGTCCGTCAGTCGTTTTGATTTCGCCCTCGTCGCGAGCACGACCGCGTCAGTGCGCGCTGCCGCCGCAGTCTTGCTACCTTTTGCGCCAAAGGTGGCCTAGTGGGTCGAAGAGCCGACCCATAGGTAGGTCCGCGTGTCCGAGAGGCGGGAGGCTGGGGTGGCGGCGCGGGTGACGGCTGACGGCACGGCTCCGCGGCGAGCCCGGAAAGGAGCGGCGAGTCCGGGCACCCAGCTAGATCGGAGGTAAACTACGTCTGCGACTTTCGGTGGCGGGGGGTGGCGAAGCGAAGGGGACGTAGGAGACATGCCGAGGGTGTGACAGAGAGGTGAAAAGCGAAACGATTGCAGATATAAAAGAAACCCCTTCCACCTAACGATGAGCAGCCCGGCCTGCTGATGCGGAGATGACAGCGTGGCACTGGCGGAGAGATGCGGCCGCGCTGCGAGGCGAGCCGCAGCCTGGCACCGCTTCAGCGAGACGCGGCGGCGAGTACAGCGGCGACCGCCAGCGCGGCGGCGACGGCCCACCAAACCAGCCGCCCGCCCGCCGGCTGTGGCTTGGCCTGCCGCGACTCGACATATTCGATGTCGCTCACGTCGACGCCGAGCCGCTTGGCCACCTCGATGGCGGAAGTGACGCCGTTCTCGAGGAGCGGCATCGAGCAACGCACGTACGAGCCGACCTGGAAGAGGAGAAAGGTGTGAAGAAGCCAGCAGAGACAGGGGAGCAGCAGCGCGTGTGCGAGCCGACCAGCCACAGCGAGCCGCGACCCTGGCAGCGCGCGAGCTTCCCCATCGCTCGCACCGCAGCTGGGTCGACGATTGGCCTGAAGTAAGCTGAGGATGTGAGAGTGTCTTGGCCCGTGGGGTCGGGCGGTCCCCTTTCCCAATGGTGGGGCCGCGTTTCCCCGGCTCTGGCTGTGGGAATTCATACCGCGGGG